CCTGATGCTTTAGTATCAGGTGTGGTGTCTCTTTTAGATTTCATGCGAGAAAATGTTTGAGATAATTGTGCGGATAACCCCATCTTTTGGTTCTTGGCAACATCTTTTGCACTTTTCCATCTTTCTCGAGCTTGTGTTGTTTCTCTTGCATGTCTCGCTGCAGCTTCTCTCGACTTTGCTTGTCTTTTTTCTCGAGTTGCAAGAACTTGATCAGAGCAATTATAAACCATGATCATGAGAAGACTTAGTGCCGCCTAACATATACAATAAAATAAACTCAAATTTCCAACAAATTTAAAACAACTGTGTATAATTTTTTTCTTAACTACTTACAATTAAGATGGCTCCGTATGCATGAATATTTTGGTTTGCAGTATTCGGATTACAAGTTGCGAGTTTGAAACATGCTAAAACAATCACCAAAAAAGAGAATTATTGATCAACTTAATTTCAGTTGTATCCAATTTCTTAAAAAAATATTTCATATGATGAAACAGAGCATTTTCTTTGGTCTTAGAAAACTTACGTTTTTGTGAAGTAGAACCTTGTCGGCAATAGTGTCTGAATAATAATACATAAAAAAAAACATTTTCAGCTCATGAATTTATGTATATAAACAACATTCTTACTGTAACAAATTCTAATATCACATATCACATATGTAACATTTTTTTCAAAAACTGACTAGAGTTTTGAGATAAAAGAATCAATACCCACTACTACATGTGACTTTTCGAATCGTGGTTGGACAATAGGAACCTGGTGAACAAAACATATCACCACTACTCTCAGCATCAACCCAACTATCTGCAGAACCACAAGTATGGTTCAACTTTCCCGGAGGAATCTGATAATTGTATCTGCAATGGAAAAAAAACTCTTTAATCATCCACTTGTATTATTTTCATTAAAATAGTAGATTGATCAAGATAATTGTTAACTTTCATGGACTCCTATTTGGTAATTAGTGAATTGACTTATATCCCTTATATATTAAGGGATGATTCGTCACATTTTCGATGTAAGATTTCTAACAAGAAATAGTAACTTACGGCTCGCAAACTCCTGTTGCTTTATTAAGCTTCGCAAGCGGGCAATAAGCGCCTAAT